TAGATATAGATACAGTAGATAGACATATAGATAGATAGATATAGATACAGTAGATAGACATATATATAGATAGAGATATAGATACAGTAGATAGACATATAGATAGACATATAGATAGATATAGATACAGAAGATAGACATATAGATAGATAGAGATATAGATACAGTAGATAGACATATAGATAGATAGATAGAGATATAGATACAGTAGATAGACATATAGATAGATAGATAGAGATATAGATACAGTAGATAGACATATAGATAGATATAGATACAGTAGATAGACATATAGATAGAGATATAGATACAGTAGATAGACATATAGATAGATATAGATACAGTAGATAGACATATAGATAGAGATATAGATACAGTAGATAGACATATAGATAGATAGAGATATAGATACAGTGGATAGACATATAGATAGATATAGATACAGTAGATAGACATATAGATAGTGTTACGGGCCAGGCCCTTACTGTCCAGGAGAGGGAGCTGTCTGGGGTTTGCCTGCCTTCTCTGCCGCCTCCTCCTCTGTGCAGGTACACCCCTGCACCATGCCACGCCTCCTCATCACTGGACCTTCTTCAGCTGGGAGCTGAGAGCAGCTCACTCTCTCCAGCCCTGCTGTCTTGTTTGGTCCTCCCCTGGCGCTCTTCCTTTGTTTGCACATTTGAGTTTTGGTTTATGCACCACATTCACTGCACACCACACACCACACACCGGCTTTCATTGCACTCACACACCTGCACCACACTACTGATTACAACATGCTCACACCTCGTACCTTGTTTTTGTTAATGTCATACTCGCCTTTTGTTATTATTAAATATACTTGTGCACTTTTTACCCCCGTCTCGCCTCCCTATTTGTTGCGGCCCTGAGCCGGCCGTAACAAGTGATAGAGATATAGATACAGTGGATAGACACATAGATAGACATATAGATAGATAGAGATATAGATACAGTAGATAGACATATAGATAGACATATAGATAGATAGAGATATAGATACAGTAGATAGACATATAGATAGTGTTGTATATTTTAACTATGCAGATGTGAATATTGGCTGACCCTGATTTGAACTGTCTTTTCCTAAAGCAAAAAGACCTGGTTTCCCCATGTTCCTTTGTTAGTCCAAAGTGCATGGGTGAGTTAATGATAGGTAATCTGCGGGGGGAATTCTGCTAATCCTGAAGAAGGAGGGGGACCCAGAGAGCCTTCTGCCTTATCTCAAAGAAGTAATAAATTTGGGGAGTGGTAGTGTTTGTGAATGATTCTGTTTAAGGTACGGCAGACAGAGGGGACATGATGGAAGAGGCCGGACCCAAGTCCTGCTTGATACGACACGCCCCCTGCTCCCTGAACATCGACTGATAATGCTCTGGCTTGGGAAGACACAGAAGGATCAGCCGAGGGCCAGAGAAAGGGACATATTAGTTTTAGGAGCACTTTTTGTTGAATATTCTGTATCTGATTGTAAAGATAATTAAATGCAGATGTTAAAACTTGGAGATCTGTTGTCATGCCTCTGCATCAACTCGAACACGTCAGTCAAGGGAGTTATTGACTTCAATAGATAGAGATATAGATACAGTAGATAGACATATAGAGATACAAAGGTGGTGTAGCCGCTGGTTAGAACAAGATAATCTAATGAAACAAGAAAATTACTAAATATTCTAAAATCAAGAATTATTACAGAGACTGGACTTGCCTCTTCACAGATACGACCTGTAACTGTCACCGGTAACGTTTGTGGCTTGTTTTGGAGGCTAGGAAGTAAAACATTAAAAGCAAACCACAGTCAGAAGGCCCTAAACTGGGCAGAATAGTTGCTAAATTTGTTGATGTGTCTGTGTGATGAGAGCTGCCAGGATCTCGCCGACGTGAAGAGCCTGGGGAACTTAATTACAAATTGCCTAATGAGCCGCGGCTACGCTAATCGCTAAGCTAACTCCCCCAGGTGTCTCACTTAAGCACACTCTCTGCCCGCAACACTAGATTATTGACGCGTCATCAATACTTTATATGGATGTCTCACTGAAGCGGCTGAGGCTAATACTGCTGCTGCAGATTAGCAATCACATGGTCTGACTGAGATGGTGCAGTGCAAGCTAGCACAACTTTAAAATGTAGATGTTGCTATTGTTATTAAGTGGTTTTTTTTCGCAAGGGTGATGTGTTTTGATAATAACCCAGTTGCAGCTGAAGAGAGAGAGAGACCAAACCTGTTGGTTGTTGGTGTGACAGCTGCAGCTGTCAAAAGCTGTGCATATACTGAGGAGCAAGAACAGGACTGAGAGCTGCAGGGAGAGAGACCAGAAAGAGACCAGAAAGAGACCAGAAAGAGACCAGAAAGAGACCAGAAAGAGGCCAGAGAGAGACCAGAGAGAGACCACAGAGAGACCACAGAGAGACCAGAGAAAGACCAGAGAGAGAGACCAGAGAGAGACTTGAGAGACACCAGAAAGAGGCCAGAGAGAGACCAGAGAGAGACCAGAGAGAGACCAGAGAGAGACCAGAGAGAGACCAGAGAGAGACCAGAGAGAGACCAGAGAGACCAGAAAGAGACCAGAAAGAGACCAGAGAGATACCAGAAAGAGGCCAGAGAGAGACCAGAGCGAGACCAGAGAGAGACCAGAGAGAGACCAGAGAGACCATATGTCCCCATAAATAGAAAGCCATAAAACAGTTCTTTTGTTTTCCGCTCAGATGTTTTTACTGCAGTGAGTTGTGCGACAGGTGCTGTGACCCTGCGCTGCTTTGTTTATTTCCGTCTGGATTTAAAAAACGCTTGATTCACTCGTTTCGTCTCGTCCATATATTTAGAGTCGTCTTAATCACTGCTTTTATTCACTCCATGTTTACAACTTGAAGGATCTTGTGTGGGACGTTCAGCCGTTTTAACCGCTGTAATTGAATCCGTCAGTGGAACTTCTTTATGGACCTCAGACAAACCCTGTCTGGTCTCAGTCTGCAGGGCTCGGATATGATTTAGTTTTTAAAAGAACATTGATTTGGGGTCGATTGATATTCATGAGAAAGGCACAGAGACCTTTACTGCTGTGGATGAGAAATACAGGAGAAAATATTAATGTTTTTTTAAATGTGTGTTTATTTTTCGGTGAGGAATAAAACACATCCCTCTCTGTTTGTCTCTATTCTTTCATATATATATTTTTTTGAAAGACTGGTATTGAATCATGTACAGCTAGTTAAGTAACATAGCTACTACTTATTTTGTATATTTTGTGTGCTCTGTCCTGTCTGTGGGCTGCAACATTGAAATTTTACAAACTGTGGGACGACTAAAGGATCTCTTAACTTTTCTTAACTTTTCACCCAGTCACAACCAGACACACGTCACAGTGAAGCAAACTCAGAACTCTGGGACCATCAATTATTACAGTGGCTGGGGAACTTAATTATGATGATAGTATCTCCCATAAAATAACTTTGGGGAATTTCTCAGTTGCAGTGACGTTCTTTGTAGTTTAAACCGGTAGGCCGACACAGTCAAATCACAACCATAGACTGTAAATATTAACGGACTTAGTCACGACTATCTCGCCCGCGAGCTATCCAAAATGGCCAAGAAAATTGTGAAAAAACGCATCTGCGCATTCGTCAGCGTCAGAGTGTTTTAGACTAGTCCAAAACACCCCCCTCAGCATTGACACACATGTGGAACGGAGCTTTGGGCCAAGAGCCAACTTTAGGTCCATCCTGTAAAGACGTTTTCGAGAGGTCTGCCAATGCGATATGTTAGCATTGGCTAATTCTTATTCCGGGTCCACCCCCATCCGCCCGGGGTGGTATTGCAGTAAGTCAGCACATGTCATTTTGGCCACTTTTGAGCCGGGACTCGCCCCCCCTGGTCAGAACATTGAAGATAACAAGAACAAGAGAGGATATAACAAGGCGAGTTTCAGTTCAAATGTGCTGTAAAGTGCTATAGTTGTATATAAAGTGCTCAAGGTGTTTCACAGCTGTTGGGATGAATGTATACTGATGTTATCAGTATAGTAGGGCTATGCTGATTGATGGCCTAAAACATCAGTATAGCTCTACTATAGTGAACCTTTACCGAAGCATGAGCTGAATGTCAGAGGACTGTTTTAATCCTGGCCTTGAATGTAGAGAATGTGTCTGCTTCCTGGACGTGGAGCTGATTCCAAAGTGTAGGAGCTTGGTAGTTAAATATTAAAGAGACCAGAGAGAGAGACCATGGAGAGAGACCAGAGAGAGACCAGGGAGAGAGACCAGGGAGAGAGACCAGGGAGAGAGACCAGGGAGAGAAAGCCCAGGGATAGATGAGAGGTTTCTCATTCTCTCCCATTGGGTTTTCAGGCGTTCCTTGCCGATGCAGGAAGGTCTAAGGACAGTGTTGAAAAACATTTAGGGACATTGGTCTCTGCTCCTTGTGGACCAACGGCTCTATGAGTGGTCTATCTTTGCCTTTCTTGTGTTTGAACGGTTTGATTTTCTGATCTGTGTTGGCGAATCAACAGTTTTGGAAAGTTCTCCGAGATACAACTGTTGTGATTTAGGGCAATACAAGAATACATCAAATTGAATCCTCTTTCTCACTTTCTCTGTCTCTCTCTCTGTCTCTCTCTGTCTGTCTCTCTTTCTTCCTTTCTCTGTCTCTATTTCTCTCTTTCTCGCTCCCTCTGTCTGTCTCTCTTTCTCCCTTTCTCTCTAACCCTAACCCTAACCCTAACCCTAACCCTTTCTCTGTCTTTTATTATACCTGTCTCTCTTTCTCTCTCTCACTGTCTCTCTTTCTCCTTTTCTCTGTCTCTCTTTCTCCCTTTCTCTGTCTCTCTTTCTCCCTTTCTCTCTCTTTCTGCCTTTGTGGAAACCTCACTAGATGTAAAAGTAGTATAAATATAAGGCATTGTCACAGTCTTTAACCCCTGTTCTCTCCTGTTCTCCCCCTCCTCCCCCTCAGCTCCCCCGGTCTCTCTCTGCCGAAGCCCTACTACATGGCGGACGAGGATGACGAGCGGCCCTTCATCTGCTCGCTGCCCTGGGACAACGGCATCATGTCGTGTCGGGACGTCCCGGCGCGGAGGGAGGGCGGCCGCAGCTGCTGCCTGGATAAGGACGACGCCCTCTACAGGCGGAGTCTGGGACTGAGTGTTGAGCCTTTGACCAACGGCACCGTGAGCGCGGGACTATGTGTGAACTGGAACCAGTACTACACCCGCTGTGGCACCGGCCTCAGGAACCCACACAAGGGGGCCATCAGCTTCGACAACATCGCCTACGCCTGGATCGTCATCTTCCAGGTCAGAGATTAGAGTTTCATTTGTTTATTTTTGAAGCATCATTTATTTAGACCATAGAGAGACCAGAGTGAGAGCAGAGCGAGAGAGAGACCATAGAGAGAGACCAGAGAGAGAGAGAGAGACCAAAGAGAGAGACCAGAGGGACTGACGAAAGAGAGGCCATAGAGAGACCAAAGAGAGAAAGACCATAGAGACTGACCGAAGAGAAACCATGGAGAGAGCAGAGCACAGAGACAATAGAGACTGACCAAAGAGAGACCATAGAAAGAGACCAGAGAGATAGAGAGAGACCAGAGAGAGAGAGAGAGACTTACCAAAGAGAGACCATGGACATAGACCAGAGAGAGACCATAGAGAGAGAGAGAGACCATAGAGACTGACCAAAGAGAGTCCAGAGAGAGACCATAGAGAGGCCAGAGAGACTGACCAAAGAGAGGCCATAGAGAGAGACCAGAGAGAGAAAGACCATAGAGACCGACCAGAGAGAGACCATAGAGAGGCCAGAGAGACCGACCAAAGAGAGACCATAGAGAGAGACCAGAGAGAGAGAAACCATAGAGACTGACCAAAGAGAGACCATAGAGAGACCAGAGTGAGAGCAGAGCGAGAGAGAGACAATAGAGACGAACCAAAGAGAGACCATCCAAAGAGACCATAGAGAAACCAGAGGGAATCACGTTAAAACATCATCATCACAAGGCGCGTTAAATTTAAAGTCTTCTGGACACATCAGCCCTCGTCACTCACTGTGGAAGAAAGAGACTGGAAAACACAAAGCTTCTTCTGATCTAAACCTGTGTGTGTGTGTGTGTGTGTGTGTGTGTAGGTGATCACGCTGGAAGGCTGGGTGGAGATCATGTACTACGTGATGGATGCTCACTCCTTCTACAACTTCATCTACTTCATCCTCCTCATCATCGTAAGTAACAGATTTTTACTATAGCTGATTTTTGACGACGCTAACGGAGTAATGTACATCTTTCTGTGTCTTTGGTCTATGTCCGTAAGCCTGTAGCCCCATTTCCACCAGCCCTACTTTAGACTACACCTTAGTACCAGTTCAGCCTATATCAAACCAGGACCAAGAGGGACTAAAGAAGGACCTGGTACTGGTTAAACAGGACCAGTGGAAAGACTCCCAATCAGGGCAAAGGTACAGCTAAGGTAGATAGAGCGTACACATAATCAATTGAGCCAGACCAGATACACCAGAGAGAGACAAGAGAGACGGACCAGAGACAGACCAGAGAGAGACCAAAGCCCAGAAACAGACCGGAGAGACGGACCAGAGAGACAGACCAGAGACAGACCAGAGAGACGTACCAGAGATACAGACCAGAGACAAACCAGAGAGTGAGACAAGAGACAGACCAGAGAGAGAGACAAAAGACAGACCAGAGAGACATACCAGAGAAACAGACCAGAGACTGAGACAAGAGACCAGAGAGACAGATACAGTATATTAAATCTAAAATGAGAAATTCTCTCATGCTTTATTTGTCTTTATTTGAGGTAGATCAGGCATGTCCAAACTTATTGTCATTGTATGTGGCCCTTCGCATTGCTAACTCTAAGCCTCATCATCCAGCCAACTTCAGGTTCACCAATACAGGCATGTTTTACCTGTTATAAAGATCAGAGCGTCTTGAAACTATCTCTATAAACTGACATTTGTTTTTCTTTGTGGCCCTCTTACTAAAATGTTTGGACACCCCTGTGGTAGATAACATAAATCAATTCAAGTTAATGGTAATATCTAGAATTATTTTATTATGTTTTGTCCTTGACCTGAACTACAGAAAGTTAAAATGCTGTTAAAACTTCCTCACCTCATCTCTCCTCACTTGGAGAAGTCGTGCAGAACATGTCACAATTTTTCGAAAAGCTGAAATTATTGTCCTCGATTTTGGTGAAATATTTTCGTCTCAAATTCCCAGCGTTCCTTCCCGCTGCCCGGACCATAAATCGCTCGGCTCTCTCCGCTCGGACTCCTGCTCAAACCAATCAGAGTTCTCATTTCTGACTTTAAACCTGTCCGTCTCATTGATGTTTGACCGCTGAAGTTCCCGTGCAAATGTCAGGTTAAATTGGAAAAAGCGATGATGAAATTGCTGCATTTGGATATAGGAAGAGAGCAGGAGCAGATGATGTTGTTCCTGGACAGAGAGAGAGAGAGAGGAGCTGCTTTGATCTGGAATGAGTGCGATTTAATGAACTGCTTAAAGCTGGTTGCGTGCGGCTGGTGCTGAGGCTGTAGACCACCCAGGAATCTGCTAATCCACCAAGATTATCATGTACGGAATATTGCTACAGAGACTCGGACTCTCTCCACACCGCAGAGAACGTACTGCAGGTTTTTATACTTGGAAGTTCCAGATCAGGGGTTTTTGCCAATACCAACACCAACGCCAATAACAACACCAATAACAACACCAATGCCAACACCAACGCCAACACCAATACCAACACCTATACCAACAATAATACCAATACCAACACCAATACCAACAATAATACCAATACCAACACCAATACCAACGCCAATACCAACACCAATACCAACAATAATACCAACGCCAACACCAATACCAACACCAACGCCAATACCAACAATAATACCAACACCAACGCCAATACCAACAATAATACCAACACCAACGCCAATACCAACAATAATACCAACACCAACGCCAATACCAACATTAATCCAATACCAACACCAATACCAACGCCAACACCAATACCAACAATAATACCAACACCAAAGCCAATACCAATGCCAATACCAACGCCAATACTAACACCAACACCAATACCAATACCAACACCAATACCAACAATAATACCAACACCAACGCCAATACCAACGCCAATACCAACGCCAATATCAACGCCAATACCAACGCCAATACTAACACCAACACCAATACCAACAATAATACCAACACCAACGCCAATACCAACGCCAATACTAACGCCAATACCAATACCAACAATAATACCAACGCCAATACCAACGCCAATACCAACGCCAATACTAACGCCAATACCAATACCAACAATAATACCAACGCCAATACCAACGCCAATACCAACGCCAACACCAACGCCAATACCAACGCCAATACTAACGCCAATACCAATACCAACGCCAACACCAATACCAACACCAACACCAATACCAACAATAATACCAACACCAACGCCAATACCAACGCCAATACCAACGCCAATACCAACGCCAATACCAACGCCAATACCAACGCCAATACCAACGCCAATACCAACGCCAATACTAACGCCAATACTAACGCCAATACCAATACCAACACCAATACCAACACCAATACTAACGCCAACACCAATACCAACAATAATACCAATACCAACACCAATACCAACACCAATAGTAACGCCAACACCAATACCAACAATAATACCAATACCAACACCAATACCAACACCAATACCAATGCCAACACCAATACCAACACCAATACCAACACCAATACCAACACCAACACCAATACCAACACCAATACCAACACCAATACCAACACCAATACCAATACCAACACCAATACTAACACCAATACCAACACCAATACCAACACCAATACTAACGCCAACACCAATACCAACAATAATACCAATACCAACACCAATACCAACACCAAAGCCAATGCCAACACCAATACCAACGCCAACACCAATACCAATACCAACACCAATACCAACACCAATACCAACGCCAATACCAACACCAATACCAACACCAATACCAACGCCAACACCAATACCAACACCAATACCAACACCAACACCAATACCAACACCAATACCAACACCAATACTAACGCCAATACCAACGCCAATACCAACGCCAATACCAACGCCAATACCAACGCCAATACTAACACCAACACCAATACCAATACCAACACCAATACCAACAATAATACCAACACCAACGCCAATACCAACGCCAATACCAACGCCAATATCAACGCCAATACCAACGCCAATACTAACACCAACACCAATACCAACAATAATACCAACACCAACGCCAATACCAACGCCAATACTAACGCCAATACCAATACCAACAATAATACCAACGCCAATACCAACGCCAATACCAACGCCAACGCCAATACCAACGCCAATACTAACGCCAATACCAATACCAACGCCAACACCAATACCAACACCAACACCAATACCAACAATAATACCAACACCAACGCCAATACCAACGCCAATACCAACGCCAATACCAACGCCAATACCAACGCCAATACCAACGCCAATACCAACGCCAATACCAACGCCAATACTAACGCCAATACCAATACCAACACCAATACCAACACCAATACTAACGCCAACACCAATACCAACAATAATACCAATACCAACACCAATACCAACACCAATACTAACGCCAACACCAATACCAACAATAATACCAATACCAACACCAATACCAACACCAATACCAATGCCAACACCAATACCAACACCAATACCAACACCAATACCAACACCAACACCAATACCAACACCAATACCAACACCAATACCAATACCAACACCAATACTAACACCAATACCAACACCAATACCAACACCAATACTAACGCCAACACCAATACCAACAATAATACCAATACCAACACCAATACCAACACCAAAGCCAATGCCAACACCAATACCAACGCCAACACCAATACCAATACCAACACCAATACCAACACCAATACCAACGCCAATACCAACACCAATACCAACACCAATACCAACGCCAACACCAATACCAACACCAATACCAACACCAACACCAATACCAACACCAATACCAACACCAATACTAACGCCAATACCAAGGCCAATACCAACGCCAATACCAACGCCAATACCAACGCCAATACCAACGCCAATACTAACGCCAACACCAATACCAACACCAATACCAACGCCAACACCAATACCAACACCAATACCAACGCCAATACCAACACCAATACCAATACCAACGCCAATACCAACACCAACAAATTAGATAAAGTCTCACTTTGGTGTTTCTTTGGTACAAAACTATTGCTAGCTGGTAGTTATTTAGCCTCAGTTGTGTTCAAACTCCCATGGAGATTTTACACGGTGCTTAATGCATCAGTTTTACATAGTGATATTTTGGACATTCAAAGACTCTTCACAGCGTTATTCATTCACTCCATAGACTACTGTAGCCACAGCTGCCCTGGGGCACACTGATAGAAGTGAGGCAAGCAGTCTGTGCCATCGGCCCCTCCCACCACCACCAACCATTCACACACACACCAGTCTCATGTGGATGAAGTATCTAGCGAACACAACCACAGTTTGGTAGTTTACAGCCGCCCCACACCTGATGTTTCCAGAGGTCTCCCATCACAGTACTAACCAGGCCCTGCCCTGCTTAGCGTTACAGTTCTGACAGGATGGAGGTGGTGCCACAACAATAGAAGTCAATAGAAGCCAGACCGAGTTGTAGACATTTTTTTCCACAAGCACTTCCTATTGGTCTTCATTCAGCTAGCGGGTTAGCTAGCATTGTCCATCTGTATACAGTCTATGACAACAGCCCAAACTCTGGCGGTTCAATTACCCAAACACAGCTCCACGGCTCGTTATGCTGTCATTATGTCAAAGTATTGTCCCTGGAGTGACTGTAGTTTTAGAATCTCTGGCAGCGAGAAAACAAGTCGCAAGGCGGGTTGAATGCCGAGTTGTTTTGACACACCACATGACGCATCAGTGTGGAAGGAACAGCTGATCCAAGGTTTTTGCTCAGTGTGAATGAAGCTAATTTCTCTTCATTTTTCTTCATGAACTCAAACATAATTCAGCTCAAAACCACACAATAATAAAAACCCGTCACATCCCTTTAATGCGACTTCACTCTATTGGCATTATTAATCTTATTATTATTAATATCTCACAACACCCACTTCTCACTCAGATCTCGTGCCAGGTAACACCAGAGAAAGAAAGGGAAAAAACATATTTCTGGGGCCAGTGATGTCTATTTATACAAAAGTACATAATGTGAGTTGTTGAAGTGGCTGCTCCTCCGCACGTGAGCGAAGCCGCGAGCGCGTGGGCGGCGGACGCTGTGAAGTGAAACTCTACAGGAGCAGGTTCCAGAGTCAAACAGAGACTTATGTAACTCACAGAGATCCACAAGGCGTAAGGGAATTTCTCATGTCTTACTCTCTCTCTATGGTCTCTCTCTAGTCTCTCTTTCTGGTTCTTTTTGGTGTCCCTCTCTGGTCTTTCTCTGGTCTCTCTCCTTGGTCTCACTCTGAACTCTCTCTCTGGTGTTTCTATCTGGTCTCTCTCTGGTCTATTTCTCTGGTCTCACTCTGGTCTCTCTCTGGTCTCTCTCTCTTTGGTTCTCTTTGGTGTGACTCTCTGGTCTCTCTGATGTCACTCCCTTTGGTCTCTTTCTGATCTCTCTCTGTTCCCTCTTTGGTCTCTCTCTGGTCTCTCTCTCTCTGGTCTAGTGCATGGTTAGTATTCTCTCTTTACATCTCACATCTGGTCCCAGTGTTTTACAATACTCTTCAGTTGTTTTAGTGAAATATCATCCTCTCGATTCAACACAATTACAACATTACAATATTATAATTCCACACCAACTGAAACAACATGGAATCTCTTTGTTTCTTCTCCTCGACCACAGTGAACATCTTTGTGATCGCTGGATGCTTGAAAGTCGAGTGGATGTGGCTGTTCGTTAAGTGGAAGACTCAATTACCCGGACTGTGATTGTGGCACTTTGTTTCCAGCGCTTTGTTTCCAGCCAGTCTGATTCCGTCGCTCTTTTGCAAACTAAACAGTCCCTGCTGCTTCCACCACGACAAGACTCCACCGTCTTCTCCCAGACAAGGAGCCGGAGTTTTAATGATGACTTTAATAATGCATAAGACGAGATGAGTGTGAGGGGAGGGGGGGAGGGGGAGGAGAGGAGAGGAGAGGTGAGGAGAGGGGAGGGTGGCTTAGATGAGTCCTGATTAGTTCACTTCCAGATATATTTCACTGTACAGAAGTGTCTCTCAGAAAGAACTGTGTGGGCTATTTGTGGAGAAAAACTTGATTCTAATAATAATAATATGTTTTATTTAGCGCTTTTTGGACGCTTAAAGACGCTTCATATGTAATTATTCTTTCACTGCAAACACGGTGGTGATGAACTACTTCTGTAGACCTTTTACGTCTTACTGCTAATTTACACAGGAGGCGTTACAGCACGTAAGCGTTGTTAACATTTTTCCGTGTGAACCAATGGTGATATCTACACCAGTGTTATGCGCGCTTATAACGAACGTGTGACGTGTGTCCCAGTCAAAACACATAGGAACCATGATTTTTTTTTGTATCAGTCCTTGGTAATAGATCACATCCACACACACACAGCACTTGTATCTAAACAGTAGGAGGAGGCCTGGCAGGTTTTACAGTGATTCTGAACATACACTTTTTTGTTTCTTCTGGTCAGACCGGTGCACAGAAGCCATGAGGACAAACACATGTATGTGGTTTGTGTTGCTCTACATCAGTCCTCTGGCCCGTACTGTCCTCTACACTTACCCATAGACTACACAGGGAGAGCATCTGAAGCCTCGGACCTGCGCACGGCCAGTGGACATACAGCCAAATAATGTTACGTGCATATACGTCACGTTTATGCGCCGTTAACGCCTACTGTGGAAAATAGATCAATTCCAGTCAATAAATAGTTTTACATGAAGGGGAAGAAAATGGACTGTTTGAAGCCTGGCCTTGAATGTAGAGACTGTGTTTGCTTCCTTGACGTGGATGGGGAGCTGATTCCACAGTGTAGGAGATTGTTAGCTAAACGCCTCTGATGGTGCTTTTTGACTCTTTGGGAAGCAGCAGAAGTCGGTGTTTTGCGAGGGCAGCGAGTCTGGTCTGAGCTGTGTGAGTTTTGAGTTATGCTTAAGGTGACCTATTTGGACCACACGTGACCTTAAAGAGTGACACATATTGAGCTCTGGGTCGCACACATGGATCATCATTATCCACGGAGAACGCCGGACATCTCGATATTGATCTAAAACGACCCGCTAATATTGGTGGATCCATATATTGGTTTTGTTTTTTCCATTACTGTTGTTGATTGTTAAGAAACCAGAGGAACAAATGGCTGACTTGGCTAATTTGGGTCCAAAGTGAAATTGCATTGACTTTGACTCCATCGACAATTCTGCAACAAACTAGATTATTGATCCGTGTTGTTTGAGCCGTGCTGTATTCAGTTCGATTCATTTCATTTTTGTATCGCCCTAAATCACAGTTATCTCGGAGGACTTCGCCAACACAGATCAGAGAATCAAACACAAGCAATTATGCAATGATAGAAAACGCATAGAGCCATTGGTCCATAAGGGGCGGATATATGTTCTGTGCTGTGGGAAAGTATAGCATTGTTTTATTATAGGCAGCAGTTCAGATTATTATGTTTATTTTGATATTTCAATGGCGTCAGGTCACATGGCTCACTTTTGTTCTACACCAGTGACTCTGAGCTCATCTCTACTCTGACCCTACCCATTCTGTTACCACGGTTTCCACCTGATAAATGGGTTCCTGTTAGAGAGAAAGAGAGACCAGAGAGAGCAAGAGACCGAGACCAGTAAAAGAGACCAGAGAGAGAGAGAGACCAGAGAGAGGGGGAGAGACCAGAGAGAGACAAGAGAGAGAGGGGGAGAGACCAGAGAGAGACAGAGACCAGAGAGAGAGAGATCAGAGAGAGGGAGAGAGACCAGAGAGAGAGAGAGACCAGAGAGAGAGAGAGACCAGAGAGAGGGAGAGACCAGAGAGAGGGAGAAACCAGAGAGAGGGAGAGAGACCAGAGGGAGAGAGACCAGAGAGAGGGAGAGAGACCAGAGGGAGAGAGACCAGAGAGAGAGAGACCAGAGAGAGAGACCAGAGAGAGAGATAGAGACCAGAGAGAGGGAGAAAGACCAGAGAGAGAGAGAACAAAAGACAGAGAGACTAGAGCAAGAAAGTAGAGCGAGAGAGAGACCAGAGTGCAACACCAGAGAGAGCAAGTGACCGAGACCAGAGCAAGAAAGCAAGAGAAAGGACTAGAGAGAGACCATAGAGAGAGAGAGAGAGAGAGAGAGAGAACAGAAAATAAAACTGGTCAAAAATAATCAACAAAAAGTCTGCACCTCGACAATGATCCTGATAATGATTAGTAACTCCAAAAAGACTGTATGGTGCTCTTAATTCTTTTCCTTATTTTTGTTTGTTTGTACTTTTTTTGTGAGAAACCCTCTGTGTTAGATGTTAAAGCTGCAGCACGGTCGCACATCCTCACAGAACGCTCTCGTCTTCCTCACAGTCGAGCGCGGACATACATATTTCATGAGACGAGTTCAAACCACATTTCTCAGAGAAAGACTGTGGAAGTTTCAGCCCTAAAGGAGTCGTAACCCAGACGTCAAACACACACATACACAACCTCCACGTCTGCAGAAGGTCACGAGGGTTTCAGATCGACATCCAGAGACGGTGAATTGGAGTCAAGGAGAACAGAATGCTCCACGTCATGAGTTAGCCTGACTCTGAGCTTCACACAAGGGTCTGGGTCTGCTTCATAGTGGATGTATTTCAGAAGGCGGGGCATGGTTAAAAAATCCTTGCACGTGATTGGATAAACCACTTGTGCGTAATTTTGAATGTAGTTTTCCTTCAACCACTCACATTGAAGCACACCATTCAGCACACGGCTCTTTCTCTGGTCCCTCTCTGGTCTCTGTCTCTGGTCTCTATCTGGTCTCTCTCTCTGGTCTCTCTCTCTGGTCTCTCTCTCTGGTCCCTCTCTGGTCTCTCTCTGGTCCCTCTCTGGTCTCTCTCTCTGGTCTCTCTCTCTGGTCTCTCTCTCTGGTCCCTCTCTGGTCTCTCTCTGGTCTCTCTCTGGTCTCTCTCTGGTCTCTCTCTGGTCCCTCTCTGGTCTCTCTCTGGTCCCTCTCTGGTCCTCCTCTGGTCCCTCTTTG